GAATTTGTCCTTGATTTAGTAATTCTTCCTGATCTGAAGCAAAAGGATCACACTACCAAATTGTGAAGCTAAATTAGTTAAAGTAGGCGCAATTTAACTTTAAAAGAAAATGTATAATTGAGAAAAGGAAGGGAGAAATAAACCATATTACCAACAAGCCTAATATGAATCATATATCTCTTACAAATTGAACATCTAATGAATGAAACAATCACTGGAGCCTGAGGAAACCCCTCATGTGAGAAAAACAAAGAAAAGGAAGAAACAGAATAATGTTAAATAAAATGATGCATGTCATCATCAGGGAAAATATATGCTCAACGTAGAGGTATAATAGTATCTATATGTATGCATATACCTATGAATAGTTTACGATATATTTGTGCGTGTACAGTCAATTTTCTACTAACCAGAAATAGATTAACAGCTAAAGGGGATGCTGATTTAATTGGGGATTGTCTAAAATATGTTAAGATTCATTTATTGCGGAATGCTATAAGGATTACTGTTGCAGTTTATCAGACTGTTGCAGTCTATGGAAAGCACAGAAAGGAAAAGAAAATTGCGGGAGATAACAGCAGTGATAACTGATCATATCTGCCGGGTGAAATCTGCCAAAAAACAAAAATTCAAACAGACGTTTTTCGCACATTTGAACTTACTAGCATTGTTCAAGTTCATTAGTAAATATCGTTCATTTATTCTATTTATAACTTACTTTCTTCATTTTAAATTATGTTTATTCTTTATTATTTACGGTGTATCCTTTTTGGTTTAAATATTAATTTAAGTTCTTTCACTAAATGAACTTATTCTGTAGATTAAATTGCTTGAAAATACAGGTAAATTTTAATAGTATTCTTCTGCTTATATGAGTTTTTCCTTCCTGTGCTTTTTCAATGCTCCGACTAACTGTGATTTCGAATTAAATGTGGACGTCAGTATTATCCCAGTATAAGTAAATATAATTTCATTTTAGAATTGTACATTTTAATTTTACCGTACTTTTAGTGCGTTCCATTCTTTAATCTACAACTTTTGAAGTTAATGACCTCATTTTTAAATTTACCGTAAGAGAAGCGAGAGAGGAATTATACACTGTCATGCCGCGCGGTGAAAATTCACTTTTGAATGAAAATAATAAAGCATTTTTGTTTTCGCCTTGAGAAAATGAATGGCGCGTTGCAGGCATGACACTAATTTGGTTCAACTGTGTGCGAGTCTGTGTCATATGTCACTGATTCATGTGATTTTTGTTATTTCTCATTATTTTTACAAAAAATAAATTAACATTAACTTTTGTGAACGGAATACACTTTATCTGTATATAAATGGGTACAGATATTCTTAATTAGAATTTTATTTCAGATTTTAAAATACACCGATCAACTCGCGAGGGACTAAGATCACACAACACTTTGTAAGTCGTCTTAAATTATATTTACAGCAACTGAACTAGCTGGTTATGTAGGTAATTCTCTGTTTACTCCATCTGCGAGGCAAAGAGAGTGTTTCTCTTAAAACGAACTCCATTGCTGTAAAAAAAATAAACCTAACTCACATTTTATTAATTTTTTATTAATTAAATAACTAACCATATGTAATCATCTGAAATCACTGATCTTATAAGGTATTTTCTCCCTCCCTGAAGCATGCCTTCGTGGTGTAACGGTAGTACACTCGGTGTGTATTCGAGAGGTCCGGGTTCGAGTCCCGGGGAGCGCACTGCTCATTTTTCATGTCTTCTGCTTCAAAATAACCTGGTGACTCTGCAATCTTATTGAATATTAACTGAGGTAAATTCCGCTAATTTAGTGTAGTTACTAGCTTTTTAATCCAAATATCTTTAATTCTTCGTCTTTATTTTACATAATGTATTTGGTACGTATCTACGTATCCATATGTATGTGAATAGTGAATAAATATGCGCATCATATTAAATGACAAATTAATTTAAATACTATCTTTTATGGTTGCTGAACAGTTTTTGTAAGTTTATAAGGTATTTCTCCCACCTTCCTAGCGTGCCTTTGTGGTGTAGTGGTTTTGCACGCTGGGACAGTATTCCAGAGGTCTGTGGTTCGGTTCCCGGCGAAGGCGTTGCTAATTTTTCATCTTACCTGCTTCCAAAAATACCTAATGTCTCTACAAGGTATTACCCGAGTTAATAACACAACAAGCGATTTCAACTGCGGTTGCGTACTGCGTGTCAGTCTTCTAGAAACAGGCAAATAAATGACTGAAAAATTAATTTTTTTTTCCTCTCTCTTCTTTTTTTTTTTTTTTTTTTTTCATTAGGTGGGGGGACCAATGGCCGTTGGAGTGTTAAACACTTATGTGTACAACACGTCGCTTTCTTATCTTTCGACCGATGCTTTAGAAAATAAGCGATTATTTCTCAAATAATACTTCACTTTCTAAGTACAGAGTTTGAAAAATAGCATTTCGAAATTTACAGGTTTCTATTTCATCAAGTATAGACCATAATGTGCTGAACAGAATTTCAGCTTGATCCGCCCCTTTTTACAATTTTCATTCCTACATATAACAAGATTTTTTTTTAGTTTAACTTTGTTTTCCTTCTTCACTATTTCGATATAAAAAGCTAGGTTATTGAGTTTTGAAATAAAAGGCTTTTGAAGAAACAGTTTACGATTGGATATTGGTAGCGTCCATTCTATATCTGTTAAATCAGTCTTAAAACTAATAATTGAAATGTGTTTTAAGTGGCTTATATATAAACAGGTAAAAGTGCATGAGGCACCAGAAATTTCTGTATAGAAACGAACGCGCATTGTCTCAATACACTAACCAGCAAGAGTTTGAAATATTGGAATTGACTGCCTGTTTTTTTTTTTTTTTTTTTTTCGTAAGCGAAACTGGAGTTATACATCCGAGTTGTTACATTTAAACGTGAGAGGATAATAACATAAAATTATTCAAAGTCACATAACATAACACAAACTGTTAAGTATACTAATTACAATATTGTATTACGCAAATTTAAAACAGGTTAGGTTAGGTTATTTAATTACGGCAAAGCCTCGAGGGCTATCTGCCTAAGGGAAAGGATGCCTTCGTGGAGGACGTTCTAAGGGAAACTGGCTCGTATACACGTTATACATGGGGAAAACTACGAAAGCACCCATGCAGCCAGCCCGTTCGCGGGATTCGAACCTCGGACCGAACTACCAGTGTTCAGCGACGTTACCGCTCGGCCGCTGGTGGGCGCAAATACAACAGAGTTCATATTTTGAAGATCGCTGCACTGGAGTTTTTGCACTTTTATGTAAGTAGATAAACATATGGGATTTGATTTTGCTAATATGTTTGAATGTCTGATTCTCGTTATGTGAGGATAGTTGTGGCAGATAAGACTGCACTGAGCATATCTCAATCCGTAATATAAATAAATTAATTGCAAGGAAAATAGTAATAAAAATATTTAAGCTCCAAAACTGAATCAACCTCAACACTTTGAACTGCCTGCCATCACAGTGAAAATTTGCTTACCAGTAGCCGACCGATCAAGTCGCTGAGCCTTTGTAGTTCGACCTGGGTTCGATCTTGGCGAAAAGGTTGGCTGCATGGTCGATTTCATGGGCTTGCCCATGCGTAACGTGGATACGAACCAGTTTCTCTTAGAAAGTCCTGCACAAAAGCATCCCTTCCCTTAGGTAGATAGCTCTCGAGTGCTTTGCCGTAATCAAATAAACAAAAGCAAACAGCAATGAAAGATCAAACTGCACTATTTCTTTATCTGTATTTATGTTACGTAACAATGTCTTAGAAAGCTAATTCTAATATGTTTACATTTTTATTCTATTTCATAATGTGTGACTTATGTGACGAAGTAAGCAGTCTTTTCTTCCTCCCCAGTTTTCATACTGAAACCAGGATTAGTGTGGTATTTCAAAACAAAAACTTTACATCCTTTGAAAACAGTTAAAAAAATTCAATATGTTGGACAACGCCATAAAATGCTCAAAAGCTTTCTTAATCGTGAAACACGCTATCTGCTCATAGATCTTAAACTAAAATAGATAAATTTGAGCACTAAATGTCTTTCGCAACTTATCCATCACATGCAGTTTCAACAGGACGTTAATGTCTCTACGGCACTTGATCCCATAAAGACAATTTGAAGTACCCCATTTGATGGAACACCTCTTACAGGCCATAAAGTCATCCCGGAATCTTTATATAGCGTTCTTTTGCCGGCAGAGGGAGTACTTAAGACTTTTATGGGTTATTTGATACTGTGATGGAAAGGATGGTTTAGCATCAAATTGCGGCAGAACTCAAACTAAAATACTTTGGAAATGAGCACACGAAAAAAATTTGACTACAAAAATTAAGAATAATGAGTACCTTTAGACAAATGAATTTAAATATGTGCTTAATGATCTGAAGTCGCAGTCTTTTATTCCACACATACGCTTTGCGAAGTCCTTGAATAATGTTAAAGAGTTGAAAGTTTATTAAGTTGAGAATTTTTTATTCTATATAATCTAGAAAACATTTTCATGAAGCTTTACTTTGTTCTATTTTCATAATAAAGAGGGGTTAAGTAAGCCTTAAATTACAAATGCCTAAAATGGTGTAAATTATTAAACTCTGTTTTTAGAATTCTGATGGGACATAATACTTTTTTTAGTTTTGTGTTAAATAAATTTACTATATATTACCTTCGAAAATAAAGTGATTACGAATTACTGGAATGTAAATGAAAAAAAATTAAATAATTTAGAAGTGATTTTAGAACAATAGTTGATATGAGAAACATATTTCATGGATTATCATATTTACAGTTCTATCCCATGAAATACTAATTGCTTCTTGTTTCTGTCATGAGTATTTATACTGTCAGTTTAAAAATTTTCTCGAGTTTCTGTTCTATTTGTCATTTTTAATTTAAATTAAAATATTAAGATTTTTTTTACTGTAATTAACATATTAGTTTCATAATGAAATTTCGAGAATAAGAGAAAGTTTCTTACCTAATTTATTTTTCATCTTCTTATCGCTGTTGATAGGATCATTTTTATTGAAACGGTATAAATGTAGGTGCTGAGGGTTTGTCACATGGTACAAAATTTCATCCCATCTTGGAGTAAGCCACTGCCCAGCTAATGAGTCGTATACCATCTCCCCGAAGTGAAGCATTCCTGTCAAGGGATCGCAAATGCCTCCTTGAAAATCTATTGGCAAAGAAAAGTGAGGATTTGAATCAAATAAAATATGACCATAAGGTCCTCTGCTGATTTCTTTGACGATTTCTCCTTTACGGTCAAAAACAAACAAAGGAGTTCCACTTTGATCAGAAGCAACATAGTACATTTCTTTGTTGACAATAAGAAATATCAAGAAGCCACGGTCGTCGTAGAGAAATGAAGTAATTTTTCCATCATTATTATTATAGGTGTGAGTCACTTGGTCAGGGTGCGACAAATCAGCATAAAAGAACTGAGTAACATTTCCAAAATTATCTTTTCTTACTGATATCATACCTTTCGTATTATAGTAATATTCTACATCATATCTGCCATTACGAGAGGCTTTAGTTAATTGTCCTTTCGTATTATAAGCAAAGCTTTCTTCTCCTCGTTGAATCACAAATCCTCGCCCGTCTACTACATACGGCGTTTCGCCAAAGCTAACAATCCTATCTCCAACGTCATGAAGAATGTCTATACGATTACCCATATATTGCATAGTCACTAAATTACCATTTGGATCATACGTAAATTTCCAGTGATCTCTTCCAACCATTTCCACAAGTTGTCCCTCATTGTCATAAGAAAAGTTTTGCAGCCGCATTTTTGGTTTCCCCAAATGTGTCATGTACGTTCGCGATTGAGTCACAAAATTTCGGTTGTCATATTGAATGTCCATACGGAAAACCTCCTTGTCGGCTATGACCAAGGATACTTGTCGAAATCTGTGCAAGGCATCAAATTGCCTCGTAATAGAAGCAGTACCATCAGATAAAACTGTTTCGTTTAAGCTCTTTTCGTAAAGCCTGAAGTCTCCAATCTGTTCTCGTCTTCCAGTTTTTGGATTATAGTAATATTCTATGGTAGGTAGTTGAAGACTTCCAATGCGGAACAAAATACTTTTGATTCGGAAAAATTTATCGTACTGGTAATGTAAAATAGCATTAGTCAAATGGAACTGGCTTATATAATATATTTTACAGGTAGTCAACAAAGCACCGTCATAGCTGTATTCACTTCTGATATCTATTTCTAAAGTACTTGATGATTCGGATGATAAAAATCCAGAAGAGCTGTAATTTTTCTCGACTTTTCCTCCACCAAAAATTATGGCACTAAGGAGTGTCTGATTGTTGTATCTGTAAAGAACTCTACCTTGATCTCCAGGAAATATTTTCATCACAGGCTGCTTGAAATCATTGAAATGGATGACGAATGGACCACTATTTCCCGGGGGAATGTAGAAAAACTTATAAAATCCAATAGAAATTAAAGTTAAAAAGGAGTGCCGAGTTCCTTTTGGAGTAGTCACAAACTTAAGTCCACCATTTTGGTCGTAATGGGATGTAAATCGTCTACCGCTTGGAAGCACAACTTTGCTTGGCTAGAAATTAAATAAAAAGAAAGTAGATTAGTATGAATGGTAAATAAATTGTTCAACAATTTTAAAAACTTGGTTTAAAATTATTTTTGTACAATTATATTTTCGACAAGGGGGGGGGGAGGAATTCTCAACGTTTAGCATTACATACAAGTAAATTCAAAAATCAGGATAAGTTGCAAAGATATTTTAACTGATTTCCTTTGGGGTAAATAAATGGAACATAATCTTTCGTGTGAATTTGTTGCTTATTTCAGATTTTTGCTTGCAATCCTAATTAGAACTAGAAAATGAGAACAAGAATGAATTTATTCGAAGAGAATATATAATGAGAATTCTGTTTCCGCGGAGTTCCTAAATTTGCTTTGTTGTAATTGTTTGCATTTTATGTAATTCTTTTTAATATGTACTGGGCAATCTTAAAAAAAAGGTTTTGTTTATGAAGTATTATGCAGCAAGAAATGAAATATGTTAAATATTATGACAATCATTTTAAAATTCATTGTTATTTTGAATAAATCCCGAAATTTGCATTAAAAGCTGCTTTTTCTTTAAAAATTTGTAAACATGGTAATAATACTAAATAACGTGCAACGCGAAGATAAGCAATTTCATTAGTTAATCAGCTTACTTACAGAACTAACTCCAGATTAATAATACGAATTTTAATTATTATCAAGCTTTTAGTTTTTACGTATTTTATGAGAATAAAATATTATATATCTGTAAAGACCTCATATTCTTTTGATATTTTAAGATTTCATGTTCAAGTCCAACCAATAAAGTAACATTTTAAATATTTTCATACAGATATTTAGTCATTTTCCACTAAAGGAAAAAACAGAGTTGAAATTATTTTAGATATAATCTCATAATTTAGCGTTTTTGTCAACAAGAAATCTATATATCCCCGCATATTTGTAAAACAAAAAACAATTAAAAAAACGATGGTTATTGCAATATCTCTGAAAGTACTGCCTATTACATTAAATTACTCTTACTGCTGTACGATTCTGTGCCCTAATTTTTTAATACGCGTACATAACATGATAGCAAATATTTGTTTTTTTGTAATAAAATACATTCGATGATATACGATATCGAGACACACCTGCAACATCGGTTCTTAAGATTGTGAGGTTTATATTAATTTTACCAATAGTTATTTTAATTAGTTAGCTTTTTCTGACATTTCTTGTTTCTCGCGTTTCCCTGGCAGAATGTAAATATGTTACTGTGAACTAGAGTGTATTTAAACTGAAGGTAGAAAAAAAGGTTAGTCGGAGTCTTTTTCGCTGCTGAGTGCGCACGTTATTGTTTCTACCAGCTGTTTGAATTCTGAATTATCACGCCGGTGTAGGTTTCAGAGTGAACTTGCTAGGCTAGTCTCCCCAGCGGCCGAGCGGTTAAACCCGCTGAACACTGGTAGTTCGATCCGGGGTTCGAGTCCCGGCGAACGGGCTGGCTGCATGGGTGTTTTCGTGGTTTTACCCATGTGTAACGTGGATAAGAGCCAGTTTCCCTTAAAAAGACCTCCACAGGGCATCCCTCCCTTTCCATGTTGTATCTAAGGGCGGAGCACGTAATAAGGAGAAAAAAAATTACTAGGTTAAATTAATTTGTGTAATCTTAAACTACTAGCTTATCTTTAAATTTAGTTTATTTTACCATTATCTTTAGTCTTATCGTCGCAAGTGTATGGTAGATTTGTAAGCACAAATACTGTGCCGTTCTAAAATAACGGAAATCAAGAGAAGGGTCTTTTACACCCTTCTGCTGTTGGTTTTGGTTTATTAGATTACGGCAAAGCACTCGAGGGCTATCTGCCTTAAGGGAGGGATGCCTTCGTGAAGGACTATTTAAGGGAAACTGGCTCGTATACATATTACACATGGGGAAAACCACGAAAACACCCATGCAGCCAGTCCGTTCGCGGGATTCGAACCTCGGACCGAACCACCAGTGTTCAGCGACGTTACCGCTCGGCCGCTGGTGGGCCCTTCTGCTGTTGTATTCATCTTCTAATCTCAGCGATAAGTGGCTAAGAGACTTTCAAATAGATCTAGTAGCAGTTTATGCTAGCCAAGAATACTAGAGGTTAAAGAAAAATTTTGTGACGTATTTGAAGTTGTTAAAATTGCAAAGTAATGTTTCCAAATCTCAAGTTCAGTATCATCCATATATTGATTTTTCCTCTTTATTTTATATTTTTATTATTCCTTTTTATTTCGTATAGTCGTTACCTTTTGATTCAAAAATCATAAAGTTTTTAAAATTTACAAAAATCAAACAAATGGGCATTACGGGGAGCATTTTGCATGGAAATGAATCACAAGGGGAGATTTTTAATGTAAATCATACTGATAGAAGACCATATCGACGGTATCGAAGAAGGTTAGAGTAATGTCGAAAACGACTTGTTCGATGCAATTAATTCATTGCACTTCATAAAAGTAATTATTTAGAGCATCTGTTTGCAGATGAAAATATCCATCATAGTTTTCAGTGCTTTTATGATTGTACTCATTATTTTTATTGCCGCTATCGTATAGATCTCTCTAGCAATGGAAAGTTGAATTAATTAATTCATCTAGTCTAAAAACTACTTTCTTTCGCTTCATTTTAATGCACTGTACCTTTTACTATACCTACCATTTGATCAATTTTCATAAATATTTGAAATTTTTACTTAATAAATTTGCACGCCTAGTTGTATTTGTATATTTTTAAACAGTGGGTATGCTTAATTTTCTTTCCTAGATGTGTTTTCTAAGTGAATATTTTAACACATTAATACTCTAATGGGAAAAAATTAGGGCGTTCTGGTTTTTGTTCCTTGGCAAGGTTTGTAGGGTTATACCAAGAGAAAAACGGATTTTCGGATGAACATTCTTTTTACGTCTTAATACTCAACAAATTTAAACATATTTACAATTTTGATAACCCTCGTTAAAGCTATCATTAAACTGTAACATTAAAAGTTTCAGGTGTGTCTCTAACTTTGCGGTAAAGCTAAAACAGGCAGAAATGCATTCCGTATCTTCCGGTTTCTGCCAGAAATTTAATAACTTGCCTCGTAAGAGTTAATTATAATTTTAGCGTTAAGGTTTTTATAATTTCAACACTAATGTTAACTTAAACTTATTTTAGCGCTAAAGTTATTTATAATTTTAGCATTAAATTTTGATCTTCGATTTTAATAGTCCGTATTCGGTACAGATAAATTTACATCTGTTTTCTTTTTAATCTTGAGCATTTTGCTGTGATAGTACCACCATAGATTTCTCCCCATCTTTGTCTAAAACTGTTTATTAGATAAAATATTGAGTACTCATTCACCTCGAGATAATTCCTTAATAAACTTTCAGGAATTAAAACAATGAAAGACTCGCACTGCTTTATCCCGTTTTTTTTTCAATTCTGATACGAAAAGCTTTAGAAGTACACTTAATGGATATTATAGATAATCATTTTTAATGGGACATTGTAACGATGATAAAAGTGCGTATTAATTTTATTTAATGGTTGTCGAAAATGTTTTTTTCTGGAAATGTGTTTTAACAATAAAAGCGGTTAATTAATGTTGTAAGCTGTTGAAAATGGTTTTTACATTTATAGTTGCACAAACAGCTGAAATAATTAATTTTAAACAACATAGCGCTATTACTCGTATTTTTCTTGATGAATTGTATAATTCATATGAAAGTTCTTATTGTTCATTCAAAGTTCGTTTATAATATCGCAATGTAATGAATTGTGTTCTTTAAAAATGACTTCGAAATTATGGAATTTAGGAATGCAAAAACTATATTTTTTATATTATGTAACACTTAAACGCCCTTAAATAAACATTATTATTTAAAACAATACAACAGACAAGGACTATGCATTATAATTCTACTCTCGCAGTCCCTCAGAATTTAAATTCACCATAAAAGTCCTGAATCTAAAAATTTGGATTTTTCGTTTTCAATAATATACTTTATTGAACAACTTAAAACTCAGGGAAGAAGTCGTCACCTGGAGAAAACTAATCTCGAATCATGAGTAGTATGATGTTGTAGTCAAGACTATTCGCATATCATATAAAATTCTAAAAACATGGAAAAATAGCGGAAGAAGTGGAAATGTTTTTGATGTTTCAATATGTATGCAGTATCAGTTTACGGTGCTAATTTCTCATTAACTGTGCAGGAAAAAAGCAGTAAAACTAGTATTTATGTAGTGTACTAATCAAGAAATTATCACGGGAATTTTTTTTTTCGTAAAATCATCACAAATAGCAGCTTTCACTTTTTTTTTTTTTTTTTAAATTTTATCTAAATTTTCACCCAGCTAATGTTATCATTGGTACTTGTCATTCGTGGAGCATTGCGAATAGTTCTACGGTCTGAAGTTAAGTTTTAGCGTGGCGCCTACATCGTACATATATTCCTTTAGGGATAACTTAATCTTTTGAAACTCATTTTCTTTCTCATTCATAGCAATACTTTTGCTCTCATGCTGTCCTGTATATTCATACCTAAAGCATCTTGAGTGAAAAAAAAACGTCAACATTGACATTTAGTCAGCTATTTCTTCTTATTCATTTGAAGTTCCATTATAGTTTTCCAAAATTATTTGCATCCTGCGGTAACAGATAAATCTGCAATACAGGCATACCTAAAGCTAATTTATTTTTTAATAATTAAGCATTTTTCCTCACATGCTTGATGAAATACATTTCTGTCGAAACTCAGATAAAAAAAAACTTTTACTTTTCGAGTCTGTCGTTTACTTTTCAATAGCATCATTGAAAAGTCTCTCATAGGCAACAGACTTTTAGACGTTTCTGAAACGTCTTCTTGATCCATAAATGAAGGTGTGTTTGGTTGTAGAAAGCAAAGTTTCTGCGCTTTCGTTAATTTATTACTGGAGAACGTAGGTATAGGTTTGGCTATTTATCATGGAGCCAAATAACAGATATTACGATTGCACTTTACACTTTTACTTTCACTTAATGT